GGGAGAGCTCGGCTCCTTGGGGGCGGCCCAGCCCGCTGCCTTCTCCTCCTGCTGCTCCTGCTCCTCCAGGTGGCCGCAATCCTTACTGCTCCGGGTGACGGCCGCAGGGCCGCTGGTGCCGGGGCCTGCTTCGGCCTCAGCCTCATTCTCGGACACGCCCTCACTGTCCTCCTCGGCCCGCTCATCCCTGTCGCTGTCCTTGCCGTGCTGCTGCTTCCCGTGCCGGGCTTTCTGGTGGATCCGCTGGTGCCGAACCAGGCTGTGCTTCAGGGTGAAGGTCCGCTCGCAGGTCTGGCACTTGTACGGCCTTTCCCCTGGTGGTGGAGAGGAGGGAACACGGCGTTAGTTCCTCTTCAGGGACAGTACTCTGCTTTATGTGACGGGGCACAGGGACAGACCCGAGCTGGCCGGGCTCTTCCGTCCTGCACCCCGCCCTCTACAGACACAGCCCAGATCCCAGGACCGGGCTGCAGGGGCCCAGCGGACATGCGGCCAGCTGAGCCACGGAAGGCAGAGTCCGCCCTGCAGCGAGGGTGGAGGGCTCGAGTTGGGATCTTGGTTTCGTGGTTGTAGCGTTTTCCTTCTCTGCCAAGACAACGGGCCCTACCGCCCTGCCGCCCGGCTGCGGGGCCCCCAACCTGGCTCCCGCCGCCTTACCTGTGTGGGACCTCATGTGCCGGGTGAGGTCCTGCAGGGACCAGAAGCGCTTGTTGCACACGCTGCACACCTTTTTCCTCTTGTCGGCCTTGCTGGCTGTGCTTCTGGGCGAGTCTGTCTTTGGTTTCTTGTCGTCGTCACTCTTCTCGGAGGCCCTCCTCTCTGCAGCGCCCTCCCCGTCGGAGGGGCCCTCTCGGGGGCGGGAGGGGGGCCGGCATCCTCGGGCAGCAGTGCCTCCTTCTCAGTCCCGGGCTCCTGGTGGCCGTGCGCCTTCCGGTGGCGGCTCAGGGTGCCCAGGAACCGGAAGCTCTTCCCGCAGGTGTCGCAGGCGAGCTTCTGGTCCTGCGGGGCTGCGCCCTCGGCCAGCTTGAAGTCCATCAGCTTGCTGGCGAGGTCCAAGTCCAGGCTCTTGTTGCTGGCGGAATCTTCCTCCGGGCCGTCCGCATCCCCGGTGCTGTCCTCCGCGCTGCGCTCTTCCTCCAGCTCCGGCTTGGGCTCCTTCTCCTCCCCAGGCCCAGGGGAGGCTGTGGCTGCCTCCGCCTCCGCCTGGGCCGCCTCCTCCACCTCCGCAGCGGGCTCCCCTGCGGGCTCCTCCGAGGCC